ACTGTTACTACAGCTGTTTCTGATGCTACTGTTACTACAGCTGTTTCTGATGCTACCGTTACAACAACTGTTTCTGATGCTTCTGTCACGACAACTGTTTCTGATGCTACTGTCACTACAACTGTTTCTGATGCTACTGTCACTACAACTGTTTCTGATGCTACTGTCACTACAACTGTTTCTGATGCTACTGTCACTACAACTGTTTCTGATGCTACTGTTACTACAGCTTTTTCTGATGTTACTACAGTACTATTACAGTTATGGCAACCCAGACTATTATTACTATTATGACTTCTAGTCTATTTATTTTTGCCTAGACTACTGGACTATTTAGTTATTTTATTTATTTATTTTGTTTCCTTATTTATTCATCTCAGCAGGTACAGCATATATATATACATGTCATGTCCATAAATTGTGGTACATGGTACTCAAGAAGTGTACATCTTTTCACGCATTTAAATTCTTGCCTATCAAGTCAACGTACTGTATCAGTGTGTATTACAGATTGTTTTTTAAAGCTCTCAACGCTACTGTCGAACCAGTTCGACAGAGTGTGTCACTAGCCATGTTGGTATTGTCGAACCAGTTCGACAGGTGAATAGCATAAGGACACCCACAAACAAAACTCACCATATCTATTTACCAAGAGGGCTTTGCGTTACATTTAAATTACGTATGACATGCATAAATGCTCAGCTTGCTCAATGTCAAAACTTTCAGTAGTGTATTTACCTAAAAAAGAAAATATCTCGAGTTTAAAAAGTTTCGGCCAAACTTCTCGGCACACAACTACCAGAAATGGCCATTGTTGACTTTTGGCACTTCATGTTGAGCGGCAGGCAGTCCGATATTTTCTCTATAATGTTATCATTTTTCTCTTTCGATCATAATTTTTTGTTTGCTGACAAAAGGAAAACACTCAATTTCCTTAATTTCTAAAAATTAGCAACTTTCAATGCAATCAATTATGAACAAAAACAATCTGAATCGTAACATCATCGATTGGATGGAACTTGTACGATCATGGCAACGGGGGTAAACAAACAACTCAACATGCATAGTGATCAAGAAAGACTATTACAATAATTTTGTAACATCTAACTCAATTTTCTAGAATTATTGACAAGCTTGTATAAATCTGTGTAAAAAAAATCTCATTTTTATAGAGTTTGCAAATGATTTCGTTTGATAAACTTTAGGACACATTGACAAGCCGACAAACGTCAGTGATACGTTTGGGCGTGGCTTAACTAAGGATTTGTTTAGTTGAACAAAGTCAACAAACACTGCAAATAATGACAAATATTGGATGATAGGCAAAATCTGAACTGATATACATTCTAGGTAAACCATTCAATAGCAAAATAATGCAGTTTACGAAAAATAATGAAATAGATGCAATTTTAGCTATCATTTCTGAAACAGGAAGCATGTACCGCATGACACATGGAAGCAAAATATGCTTTCATCCAAAATATTACGAAATAGATACAAATTCAAAAGAAAATACATAGTTTACTATTTTTCTACAACTGTTTACTATTTATTGATCTGGATAGCAGTCTTCACGCCTGTTTGTTTCATATTTATTCCTGATTGCCGCCGGTGCGTAACATCAAATTTGTAAGTCTAAATCCGGAACCGTCAAGGATTCCACGCTCGATGATTTGAAAATTATTTTCTGAAAACGACGGCAGCAGAGAGCGATATAACATATTGATATGCCATAATAATAACAACAGAATATTGTTATTGGTCTGTCATTGCAAGAAGGACCATTTAGAATATTAAGGATTGTTTTTAAAACGTTTACTCCCCCCTCCTCCCCAATCTTCAGAACGGATGAAAGTAGGTACACACTTTGACTGGATGAATGTTGGGTCTATGTGATTTTAAACCCCAAACAATATTGTACCAAAAGTACTTGGTGATTTTGTACCCAAGAAAACTAAACTAACTCTGTTTGATCATATTTATTTTTTCATGTTTATTGCAAACAATGAGCTTAACATTATGGTAAAACATTTCATCAAGTTCATAATATGACTAACCTAAATGTACGTGGTCCTCGAGTGTAGTCAGTCCACATTGGCACAACTCAAATTGACTGATTGTGATAGGAATGTAATAAATTCTTGTCACTGGAGAGGAGGCCAGTAAATTGGTAAACCGTAAGTTAATTGTAGATCTAGTGTTTTGACAGAAAAGTGATAATAAATTAACTTTTTCATACAAAAAGCAATGAGTAAGTTTGAAACTACAAAACTGTAATACAAAATTATTCTGGGCAGAGAAGCACATACCTGTTTGGGTACAAACTCTCAAGACATTTTACATACAAAAAGCACATTTCAAATGGATTTCGTAGAACAATGGAATAACAAAAAATTCTAATCAGTGGAATTCCATTTCACATTTTAAAACAAGTATTTGTTTATGTAATCAAGCTCAGGTAGAAGGCTCATGTTTTGTCCTAAAAGTAGAATTTTTTGGGGAAAAATATAGACACCTCAGAAATAAGGGCTTTTAAAGTTATAATTCTATCTAACTTGTCAGTTTGACGTTGGTCCATCAAAGAAAAACCCTTATGAAATTTAAAAAATAATAATTTATGACACTAAAAATTTCAAGCACTATATAAACCTAAAGATTATTCAAGGAAGGACAAATGTGTTTGTTTTTTATTGCAAATACTTTTGTTTTTGTCATTTCTTGTTTCATGATGGCAAGGTACTTTTTATACACACCAACTGAGGAACTTGTGACACACCAGCTGATGAAGTTGGATACTGTGATTGCATATACAAGGGAAAAACAGGTTTGCAGCAGTGCATGTATGCGAAAATTAACCACATAAGGTGACATAAAATCAGGGGATGTGGGTGACAGGACAAAATACATCTGACAAAGGTCATCATGTATACAGGGACATTTCTTTTCATTCCACCCAGAAGGCTGAGACACAAAGAACATCAGGACCTATACTGACTTTATATTCAGAAACCCATCAAAATGATCAAGGATGTCAGATCCTAAGCTGGTGGTAATCTGCATTTATTTTGAATTTTTACCATCTCGCAGTTATTATACCCCTGACCTAAAAGGTCGGGGGTATATAGTTATACCAAGGTCCCGTCCATCCGTCTGTCCGAAAACTTTGTCCACGCGATTTCTCTTAAACTATTCAGTGGATTCATCTCAAACTTAGTACATATAATCTGTGTCATATGGAGGGGTGCAGTCAAAAGAAAATTATTTTTTTTATTAATTTTCCATTTTTTTAATGAATTTTTCAAACCCTAACCCTATCCTAGCTATTTAATTTGAAACTACTGACACACTAGGCGGCTCGGGGGTATTAGTGAGCCACGCTCACTTTTGCTCTTGTTTACCAATAAAAAACATCGAATTTATACCCAGTTAAAATTAAGATATCGGAGATCTGATAATTGAAATCAATTTGCACAAATTTAACGATTTAAAAAGATTCCTAACATGAAGCGTAAACCACCTTCAATAACCCTGTATAATGAAGCACCGACTGTTTGAAATCACCCACCCTCTTTAGAGCGCCTTATGCTAGATTAATCCAGCAGGCAGGGGTAAGAAGTGTGAAAACAATTCAGCAGGCTAAAGGTTAAACAAAGTGTGGAAGGAAGACTAAAAAAGTGGGTTGTTATGTTTGCCTTGGAATCCAAACAAAACATTTTCTCTGTTCAAATCAATGGTTCCTTCCATAACAGATTTTATCCAAATGTACAGTTTCTCCCAAATATTTCACAATCATACAACATATGGATTATAGTTTCAGGTTGATTTGTACAGAAAGTACACATAGGAGAATCAACATATCCAATTGTATATAAATATTTGTTAGTTGTAAGAATGTAGTGAATAATCTTAAACTGAAACCATCTAATATCCTCACTTTGAGTGCATCTTTTTGCCATCAATATATGCTCTGGCCAATTCGTTCCACAAAATGTCTTATTTAGTATATGTTCCCATTTTTCAATGCCATGAAATTTAACGAACTCCTGTGCTGATAAAGGCTTGTAAAATTCTTTACTACCTGTATTTTGGTTTAGAAGATGTGATATATTGAGTAGCATGGTTGGTTGAGGAGATATGGAATTGAAAACATTGTAATCCTTTGCCTTACAAAGTTGTTTGACTGCATTTACAACTCCATAATATTCTATATAATTTGTTTCAATTCCATACATATGCACAAAAGCATCAAATACATAAATTTTACCTTTGTCATCCACTAAATCCCCAATGAAGGCTACACCTCTGCTTGACCAATGTTTAGAAAAAATTGGACTATTTCCTATTTGTATTCTACTATCAAACCATATAGATTGTCTCATAATATCTTTACCAGTTTACGTTTTCTTTTTGGACAAGTATGGCTACTAAACTATTACTGTTATGGTGACTATGCTACTATTACTGTTATTGCTACTAGACAATCACTGTCATGGCTATAACTAGACTACTACTGTTATGGCTACTATGCTACTATTACTGTTATTTTAAACTAGACAATCACTGTCATAGCTACTAGTCTATTACTGTTATTGCTACTAGACAATCACTGTCATGGCTATAACTAGACTACTACTGTTATGGCTACTATGCTACTATTACTGTTATTGCTACTAGGCAATCACTGCCATGGCTACTAGACTACTGCTATGGCTACCATGCTACTATTACTGTTATGGCTACTAGACTATTACTGTCATAGCTACTAGACTATTACTGTTATGGCTTCTCCACAACTACGATGTCTACTACTGCCACTGGTTTTACAACAACTACTACTACTTCTACTACTACTACTATTTTTAGTACTGCTGCTACTGCTACAGCTACTGATACTACTACTACTTCTACTTCTACTACTTACTACCACCACCACTACTACTACTTGTGCTGCTACATACATACACCGAAGGGTTCATTGGTTTACAGTGCTACAGTCTCCCATGCAGGAGTACATGCCTGGGGTTTACCAGTACTGGCAAGTCACAGGATACATTCCAGAGATGCTACAGTCTCCTATGCAGGAGTACATGCCTGGGGTTTACCAGTACTGGCAAGTCACAGGATACATTCCAGAGATGCTACAGTCCCCTATGCAGGAGTACATGCCTGGGGTGTACCAGTACTTGCAAGTCACAGGATACATTCCAGAGGTGCTACAGTCTCCCATGCAGGAGTACATGCCTTGGGTTTACCAGTACTGGCAAGTCACAGGATACATTCCAGAGATGCTACAGTCTCCTATGCAGGAGTACATGCCTGGGGTTTACCAGTACTGGCAAGTCACAGGATACATTCCAGAGATGCTACAGTCTCCTATGCAGGAGTACATGCCTGGGGTTTACCAGTACTGGCAAGTCACAGGATACATTCCAGAGATGCTACAGTCTCCTATGCAGGAGTACATGCCTGGGGTTTACCAGTACTTGCAAGTCACAGGATACATTCCAGAGATGCTACAGTCTCCTATGCAGGAGTACATGCCTGGGGTTTACCAGTACTGGCAAGTCACAGGATACATTCCAGAGATGCTACAGTCTCCTATGCAGGAGTACATGCCTGGGGTGTACCAGTACTGGCAAGTCACAGGATACATTCCAGAGGTGCTACAGTCCCCCATGCAGGAGTACATGCCTTGGGTGTACCAGTACTGGCAAGTCACAGGATACATTCCAGAGATGCTACAGTCTCCCATGCAGGAGTACATGCCTGGGGTGTACCAGTACTGGCAAGTCACAGGATACATTCCAGAGATGCTACAGTCTCCTATGCAGGAGTACATGCCTTGGGTGTACCAGTACTTGCAAGTCACAGGATACATTCCAGAGATGCTACAGTCTCCTATGCAGGAGTACATGCCTTGGGTGTACCAGTACTTGCAAGTAACAGGATACATTCCAGAGGTGCTACAGTCTCCTATGCAGGAGTACATGCCTGGGGTTTACCAGTACTGGCAAGTCACAGGATACATTCCAGAGATGCTACAGTCCCCTATGCAGGAGTACATGCCTGGGGTTTACCAGTACTGGCAAGTCACAGGATACATTCCAGAGATGCTACAGTCTCCCATGCAGGAGTACATGCCTGGGGTTTACCAGTACTTGCAAGTCACAGGATACATTCCAGAGGTGCTACAGTCCCCTATGCAGGAGTACATGCCTGGGGTTTACCAGTACTGGCAAGTCACAGGATACATTCCAGAGATGCTACAGTCTCCTATGCAGGAGTACATGCCTGGGGTTTACCAGTACTGGCAAGTCACAGGATACATTCCAGAGATGCTACAGTCTCCTATGCAGGAGTACATGCCTGGGGTGTACCAGTACTTGCAAGTCACAGGATACATTCCAGAGGTGCTACAGTCTCCCATGCAGGAGTACATGCCTTGGGTTTACCAGTACTGGCAAGTCACAGGATACATTCCAGAGGTGCTACAGTCCCCTATGCAGGAGTACATGCCTGGGGTTTACCAGTACTGGCAAGTCACAGGATACATTCCAGAGATGCTACAGTCTCCTATGCAGGAGTACATGCCTGGGGTTTACCAGTACTGGCAAGTCACAGGATACATTCCAGAGATGCTACAGTCTCCTATGCAGGAGTACATGCCTTGGGTGTACCAGTACTTGCAAGTCACAGGATACATTCCAGAGGTGCTACAGTCTCCCATGCAGGAGTACATGCCTGGGGTTTACCAGTACTGGCAAGTCACAGGATACATTCCAGAGATGCTACAGTCTCCCATGCAGGAGTACATGCCTGGGGTGTACCAGTACTTGCAAGTCACAGGATACATTCCATAGGTGCTACAGTCTCCCATGCAGGAGTACATGCCTTGGGTGTACCAGTACTTGCAAGTCACAGGATACATTCCATAGGTGCTACAGTCTCCCATGCAGGAGTACATGCCTGGGGTTTACCAGTACTGGCAAGTCACAGGATACATTCCAGAGATGCTACAGTCTCCCATGCAGGAGTACATGCCTTGGGTGTACCAGTACTTGCAAGTCACAGGATACATTCCAGAGATGCTACAGTCTCCCATGCAGGAGTACATGCCTTGGGTGTACCAGTACTGGCAAGTCACAGGATACATTCCAGAGATGCTACAGTCTCCTATGCAGGAGTACATGCCTTGGGTGTACCAGTACTTGCAAGTCACAGGATACATTCCAGAGGTGCCCTTGTTCTGATCCCTGATCTATCAGCAGTGTGCCTGTGTCTTGGATTTCACGGAAGTGGTAGAAGGCCACGGCCTACATCACACAAACTGATACCCCGTGATGGGACTGGAACACTGTCAACACGGCATCAAGCCTATCATCTTCCTCACCAATATACATGATATATGTACAACTCGGGGGGTGGGGTAGGGGGGGAACCGGTGAAACTTTCACGATTGACCAATGGTTGAAACAAGTTTTGTTTGTTTTGTTTTTAATGCCGCACTTAGCAATATTCCAGCTATATGACGGCGGTCTGTAAATAATCAAGTCTGGACCAGACCATCCAGTGATAAATCGCAATTGGGATCGATGACATGCATCAACCAAGTCAGCGAGCCTGACCACCCGATCCCGTTAGTCGCCTTTTACGACAAGCATTGTCGCTTTTTATGGCAAGCATGGGTTGCTGAAGACCTATTCTACCCCGGATCTTCACGGGGGGAGACAAGCATGGGTTGCTGAAGACCTATTCTACCCCGGATCTTCACAGGTCTGGTTGAAACAAGTATGGGTTATTGATTTACTTATATGAGAAGAAAAAAGTAATCCTTTTGAACATTTCTTCTAAGGGTACTTTTACTTAACTGGCAATAAAAATCGACATAAAAGTAGTATCTTGCTTCAACATGTCTACTGCTAGACTAGAAAATAAATTCCACAGTCATGGCACAGGACTAGTCTACTGCTAAAAGCTCAGGAAACGTTCTGTGAGCATTTGGCCTAAAAATATCCTTTCTTGAAATCAGAATTTGGATGCTTTACCCATGATATATCAACTAGAACTGGAAAGTAATCACAGATTTTATGATTGATTCCTTGGTCGAAATCTGAAACCAACCGAATGAAAGCACCCGTGTATGCTACAAATATTTAACATTGTGTGAGCGAGTGAGTGAGTGAGTGAGTGAAGGTTATTTATCCTGTAGTCTGTACTATCCAGGGTTAGAAACTAACAGTTTTTTTCCACTAGTCCTTATAATGATAACATATAGCAAAACCCTTAAAATGGGCCAATTTCTACTAGTCCTTAGGATACCTTTACAATTGGGCAGTTTGGTAAGGACTAGTGCCAACCAGTGACTGACAGCATGAGCATTGATCCACACCACTCAGGGTACGATGACATTGTACTTTGTTTGTTTGTTTGCTGTTTAATACCACACTCAACAGTATTCCAGCTATATGGTGGTGGTCTGTATATAATCGAATCTGACCCAGACAATTCAGTGATTGACATCATGAGCATTGATCTACGCAGTTGGGATCGATGACATAAGGGATGTTGGCACAAGCTTGTAAAGGTGATTCGGGGAAATAGACCCAGCAAGCCTGACCATCAATACCCATTAGTCGATTGTTTTGGCAAGCATGGGCTGCTGAACACCTAATCTGACCCGGATCTTCAAGGGTTGAACATTATGCTACAAACATGAGGTACTAGTGACCACAAAGTCAATGTTGTTTGAGGCTTGGTTGGTCCGTAGAGAATATCACCCAAGTGAATTTTGATATCAAATATATTAACATGAGTCAATAACAGTTTTTTCTCTGAGGCTTCAAGATGTCAATAGACATGAGTGTAAGATTCTACTCATCCAATATCATTTTTCCAACATTTTCAGTCTGTAAACAGTAATAACCTGTGTCTTGTGTGTAACAAGCACAGCTAACCAGCTTCAGTTCTGAGGGAGTGAGTGAGTGAGTTTGGTTTAACGCCGCTTTCAACAGTATTCCAGTTATATCACGGCGTGTCAGCTTAATGTGGGAGGAAAGTCCGAAGTGATGCAGGTCTCAGACGTTTACACTTCGGTGAAACCCACGAGCACAGGTATGGTGCTGACAAACCTAGAAACATAATCGGGGCGAACCGGGATTCGAACCCACAATCATAGGTTTCTGGTGTGCCCAAGGGACGCAACTCTGCACAGCGAATCACTGCACCTTAGACGACTGGGCCACCCGTGCCCCCAGTTGCAGAGAGATCAGTGATATTGCTGAGTGTGGCGTTAAACAACAAACAAACAAACAAAACACAAACAATAAATTGACCTTTAATCCTTGACTTATAGTTTGAAATCTGTCAACCTCTACTGGACCCTGGCAATGCCCAAATACCGAGCATGTCCTGTTATTGTAGTATTAGCAAGTACTGGTGCAGTATCGACGTCTCAAGGCCCCAGCTTAAATAACCCCAACACTGCTTCTCGGTACAAGGACAAACTTGCCATCCATTGTCGCATGTAATAGACTTCTCTTGCCCACCTCCGCCAAGGTCAGAGGTCGCCCCACATACAAATTACAGCAGTGTGAAGAATAGTGCCAGGCGGATTAACAAGGTAGTGAAGAGGCTCAGTTGTGCACCTGTTCACCAGGGCTCCGGAATTCATGGGTATCACTTTCCAGTGTTTTATCAGAACTAACATGATCAATTTCAGGTTACATACTGGCATTAAGTTTCTTTAGCTGATGTGCCATATATGCTTGTCATCCCGGGTTGGAGATATCTTGGTTCACATGATGACTTTGTTTAGGACTGTGTAATAGTTTATGGTCAGATGTTTTGCTCCATATCCGTTTGTTAGTTGTGGTATTGTGTTGTTTACAGATATGCAGGAGTCAAGGTCAACACAAAACATTCTCGATTTATAAAAACCTATAGTGTTGAGAAAAAGGTCAGTGTTAGAACTAAGAGCCTGAATATTTTTTTTAACAAAAAAACATCTTGAAACAATGTATTTTTGCTGGCTGACATTTTAGTGTTGAGAAGAAGGCCAGTGTTAGAAATTGTCACGAGTCCAAGAGTCCTTGCGGCCCCCTCCGTGGTCTAGTGGTAGAGTGTCCGCCAAGAGACCGGAATGTTCGGGGGTTCGATCCCCGGCCGCTTCATACCAAAAGACGTAAAGAGATGGTACTTATTGTTACACTGTCTGGTGCGCGGCATTAAGGGTCTAAAACAAGGACTGGGCAGCTTGGAGTCAGTATATTGTGTCTGAGTGGGGTGTTCATGTTAAACTGCGGCATGGTATCTCAGACACCTCAGACACCACAATCACACACACACACACACACACACACACACACACACACACACCACACATACACCACACACACACCACACACACACACCACACATACACCACACACACACCACACCACACACATACACCACACACACACCACACATACACCACACCACACATACACCATACAGCACACACACACCACACCACACACACACCACACCACACACACACACCATACACCACACACACACCACACATACACCACACCACACACACACACACACCATACAGCACACACACACCACACCACACACACACCATACACCACACACACACCACACATACACCACACCACACACACACCATACAGCACACACACACCACACCACACACACACCACACACACACACACCACACACCACACACACACACACCACACACACAAACCACACACACACACCACACACACACCACACCACACACAAACCACACACACACCACACACAAACCACACACACACCACACACACAAACCACACACACACAACACACACACACCATACACCACACACACACACACACACCATACACACACCACACATACACCACACATACACCACACCACACACACACACACACACCACACACACACCACACACAAACCACACACACACCACACACACAAACCACACACACACACCATACACCACACACACACACACACCATACACACACCACACACACACCACACACACACACACCACACACACACACACCATACAACACCACACACACAAACCACACACACACACCACACATACACCACACCACACACACACACCATACACCACACACACACCACACACACACCACAAACACACCACACATACACCACACCACACACACACCACACACACACCATACCACACCACACACACACCACACATACACCACACCACACCACACACACACACACACCACACACACACCATACCACACCACACACACACACACACACAAACCACACACACACCACACACACAAACCACACACACACCACACACACACACCACACATACACCACACACACACCACACCACACACACACACCATACACCACACACACACCACACACACACCACACATACACCACACACACACACACACACCACACACACCATACACCACACACACACCACACACACACCACACACACACCACACACACACACACACACACCACACACCATACACCACACATACACCACACCCACACACACACACACACACCACAAACACACCACACATACACCACACCACACACACACACACACACCACACACACACCATACCACACCACACACACACCACACACACACCACACATACACCACACATACACCACACCACACACACACACACACCACACACACACCATACCACACCACACACACACCACACACACAAACCACACACACACCACACACACAAACCACACACACACCACACACACACACCACACATACACCACACACACACCACACCACACACACACAC